ACATGCTCCTGCATTGCTATATTGAGCACTAAGGACAAGGACACAAATATGATAGAAAGTCACATCCATTACCTTTCAGCAGTTTGAATTTCAAGCATTGTGTGACCTCTACAGTATGTGTATCTAGAGATTAAGTACTACAGGGGGATTCTGCCTTGAGAACTGTATGTAAATTATTTCCTGTTCTACTAAGTTCAGTGACAGCTCTTACAATTTTATTACACAACTCTCCCCTACTATCTCAAACTGGATTATGATTTCTCTGAACAGGGAACAAATATTTGTCATGACAAACAAAACTTCTCAACTGTGGAACAGTTTAATTTTCAAGCTCAACTCCTTAATAACAATACTACTCTTTCAAGCTCTCCCGACTTATGTTCTCATATTGTCACTGTTTTGATAAGTCCAAAGGCATATACAATCACAAATATTGTCATGTGTATGAGTGACTATAGATGGGGTTTGGATTGGTAATTGGATCTATTGAACACTTACAGATTATAACACATCGTAACATCGATAAATTTACTTGGACATCTCCTGATGGGAAGATACACAATCAAATAGACCATATTTTGATAGACAGGAGACGGCACTCAAGTATACATGATGTTCAACCATTCAGGGCAGCAGATTGTGATACTGACCACTACCTGGTGGTGGCAAAGGTTAGGGAAAGACTGACAGTGAGCAAATAAACAACACACAGAGTTCATATGGAGAGGTTCAATCTCAAGAAATTAAATGAGGTAGAGGGTAAAGAGCAGTATCGTGTTGAAATCTCAATTAGGTTTGCGGCTTTGGAAAACTTGGACACAGGTGGATGTTAATAAAGCTTGGGAAACTATTAGAGAGAATATCAAAATGTCTGCCAAAGTGAGTCTAGGTTATTATGAACCGAATAAGCATAAGCCATGGTTCGATGAAGGATGCTCAAAATTATTAGATCAAGAAAGCAGGCCAAACTGCAATGGTTACAGGATCCAAGTGAGTTAAATGGGGATAATCTGAACAATATAAGATGTAAAACCAGCAGGCATTTCAGGAACAAAAAGAGGGAATATCTGAAAGACAAAATTGATGAGCTTGCAATGAACAGTAAGAAAAAGAACATTAGAGACCTGTATAGAGGAACAAATGACTTTAAGAG